GGCTCCTCCCACAAGGAACTCCTGTGGAGGAATGGTCCAAGGTCCACGCCTCAGCTGCAGATCATCTTGCTCGGATGTTGGCATCTCCTACACTAGATACCAAGGAATGATATAAAATAATTATAATTGACATCATTATAGTATTGACAGCAATATAAATAAAATTGATAATGAAAAAAATAAAGAATGCAGACTAGATCCATGAGGTAGATGTCCAATATCTACCAACCTACTACAATTTAAGTAGGAAAAAAAAATTCTTTAACAATAGAACAAATAAACTAGTTGACCATTTAAAATAAAATAATAAAACCACAACCTTATCAGTATCATATACACAGGAATGGAAACAGTAGACTATAAGTAAATTCTCAAATTTTAACCTCAAACAAAGTTAAAGGACAAATAAAAAATCTGGGGAAAAAATTATCACACGAAGGACAGACAGAGGATTAACATCTATAGCATAATAGAGCGCTTCCAATCTACTAAGCAGGAAGTAATCCAAGAGAAAAATGACAAAAAGGACAAAGAATGTGAAAAGGCAAAATTTATAGAAGAACATATCTGAATGAGCAAAATGCTTATAGAAAGATGCTCTAACTCGGTAGCCGTCTGAGAAATGCAAACTAAAGTAACAGTGGACTATTACATTTGTCCAGCTTGTGTAAACAACCGGCGCTCAAGATGATAACACCTACCGATGGCAGGGATATAGGAAAAGAGTACTCACACTACTTTTGAAAATCAAGTTGTTAAAACAATTTTGGAAAGAAATATGGTAGGATATATAAAGTGTATATATGCTTGGACCCAGAAATCCCTTAAGGATATAATTTACAGGAGAAAAGTCAATATAATATAAAAATATTAATATATGTACAATAATGGCTGTTGGAAATAAAGAACTATGGTAAGAAACATGTTGGAAAGAAATATGGTAGCATATATAAAGTGTATATATGCTTGGACCCAGAAACCCCTGGAGAATATAATTTACAAGAGAAAAGTCAATATAATATAAAAATATTAATATACATACAATAATGGCTGTTGGAGCAGTGCTGAGGCTGGCAGAAAGTGAAATGCATACCAATAAAGGAATAGTTGCATAAATTGTCACATTTACACTGTGACAGAAAGAATTTGGGCTGTATTTAAGGTTGGAGGAAATTATGTGAAATGGTGTTCTGTGAAACAAAAAGATGCTGTGGAGCATATGGTATAAAACATTTTTTTAAAATCCCTATATATATGTACGTAGATATCTATATGTAGATATACGTATTGTGTATGTGTGTTATTATTTGGATATGCAGAAAAACTGCAATACAGTAGAACCTCCATAGCTGACCACTTCCTTAAGTTGACCTAATTTTCACAGACAGGCTAGACACCACATGTATGTATCAGTACAGTAGGCCCAGTTCCTTATGTCGGCCACCTCTATATACTGACCAGTTTGTTATAGTCCCTTCATTGGTCAATTTACAGAGTTTCTACTGTAGTCTATGCTAGGCTTTTGGTTGACATGAGTTATTTATAAGAGGCTGATTTGCATGGAAAAGAGGAGAGAGGTAAAGGAACACCAAGAAAATCAAAATAGAAGACTGCTAAAAGAAAGTCAAGTGTGTAATAATTATCACAGTTAAGCATTTATGTAGGAGTCTGTGTGTATGTGTATGTTACACAGAAACTGATATACACAAACAAACAGAAAACACACACATAGTAGCCCTCCATCCACAGCAGATACACTGAGAACCATGGACAGTATCAACCCCTATAGTGTATATATACTATGTTTTTTCCTATACATGCATACCTATGATAAAGTTTAATAAATTAGGCACAGCAAGAGATTAACAATAGCTAGTAATAAAATAGAACAATTACAACAATTCATAACGCTATAATAAAAATTGTGAATGTGGACACTCTATCTCTCCCAAAATACATTATTAAATACCATTCTGTAGAACCTCCATAGTGGATCATGTCCCTACGTTGACCACCTCCTCGTGTTGAACTAATATTTCATAGACTGGATATGCACTACACGTACATAGCACTACATAGGCCTAGTTCCTTATGTTGACCATCTCCACATGTTGATCACTTTTTTATAGTCCCTAGGGTGGTCAACTTACAGAGGCTCTACTATATTTTAGAACTGCAGTTGCTGAACCAAGGAAAGTGAAACCACAGATAAATGGAGACTACTGCATATGTGAATCTAAATAGAGCTGTTCAGTAATTCAGCTTAACAAGAACATGACAGAGCTCTCTTATGAAATTAAATGTTCACTTCTCTTCTCTTAATCCTCATCAGTCCAGCCTCAGAGATCTTGAATTCTAAATGTCCTGCACAATATATCTCAATAGAAACAAATTAATGTTTGTTCTAGAAAAGTAAGCTGACACCACACGCATGAAGGATTTGAAGGACTCACACCTGAGTCCTAGTCCACCACCAGTCACCGTGGTTTTGACTTCTCATCGTCCAGTCTTTCTCTGCTCTACACTGTCAACCCCCGGGGAAGTGTCAATTCTTACTTAACTTCCAAATCCCACCCTCTCTGTTGAGGTTCCTACTTCTCAGTTCTGGACCCGCAACATAGGAGAAGGGGAATATACAAAGAGATGTTTCCAGCTGGCATCTGTATTATGCGTTCCCACAGAATCAACTTTTAAATTGTGATTATAAGTTTTCTAATACTATTTTGTGTTAGAGTTCAGGTAATATTGAGCACTAAAGTAAGTTTTGAGAACTATTCTAGGAGAACACCACCAGCTATAATCTTGTTTGTAGTGGTAAATACAGTATATTTCATGAAAAAAAAACTTTATTAAATTTATGAAATAATTGTACAGTTCACGCACAGATGTTAAATGTCTTGGTGGTGGACTTGGCTTTTATGATTGAGTAGAGTTATTTTCCTTTGATTCTCACTCCTGCCACTGAGATCACCCTGAAGCTCTCTACTAAGTCAAAGCGACCAACCTTCCAAGGTAAAAGAAACTTCTTCAGTCAAGGCTTTGTGCATAGTTGGTTAATATAATTGTTACACTTGTTTTTGCTAAAAGGTTTGCTCTGAGTTTTTGCCAAATGTTTCTAAGCTGAAATAAGAACCACAGATTACAAGAAAGTGGAAAAGAAAGTTAACATATTTTTAGCATCCGCTGTGCACAGTTTAATCATTACAATAACTATGAAGTTGTTTAGTATCAAGTAACAGACTCTGACAAGCTTAAGGAATTTTCTCCTCCAGCACCAAGTAATTTTCTCCTCCAGCACCAAATCTCATAGTTTTTTCTAAACTGGATAATAATTTATTCATTTACCCTTTTACTTAAACATAACACATAAATGAACAGTTCATAAATCACAAGGGTTTGTTGCATTTTCACGAAGTGAACATATCCTATAAAACAAGCCTACAAATCACGAAATTGAAAAATGGAATCTCAGAAGCCACCCCAAGTACACCCTTTCGACTCACTGTGACCTCCTCAAGGGTAGCCACCCTCCTGATTTACCATACTTCTACCATCAGAGTAGTTTAGGTTTTATTACTTTGACTGTTTTTGAACTTTCTACATGTACAATCAGAGAGCAGATAGTCTTTTCTGTCTGGCTCATTTTGTGGCACTGGATTCAGGCAATTCATTGGTTACAATGTAGTATCCCACTGTGGGAGCATACCCAATTTACTTACCCATCCTACTATTAATGGGCACTGGGATGGTTTCCATTTTTTTGCTATTTTGAATAGTACTGCTATGGACATTCTTGTACATACATGTCAGTACACAAACATACACATTTATGTTAGATACACACACACGTAGAAGTAGGAGTGCAATTGCTAGGTTATGAAATTTGTATTAGAAACCTTAAATCCTTGATGTTCTTTTTATCTTCCAGTTTCTTTTTTTGGCTGGGGCTGGGTTTGAACCCACCACCTCCAGCATATGGGGTCGGCGCTCTACTCCTTGAGCCACAGACGCCGCCCCATCTTCCAGTTTCTTAAAGTAATTATACCAATGTATGGGAATTCTCGTTCTATGCCGCCATGCTAACAAAGGCAGTTTTTGAAAACCAAGTTTCTGATTCCCATATCTTTCCTTTTACCCAAACTTTATTTAAAGGTAAGAACTTGGTAACTATTCTCTTTTATAAATTCCATAATTCTTTCTAAGATTTGTATTCTTTGTTCATTAAGTGACTTTCCTTTTTTATACTGGAAAACATATTTGTGCTGAACAGAATTTAGCAGTGTTAGGAGTGTATCAGAGGCCTCGTGTAAATATTTGTCTTCATTGAATCCAGCCTCTTCTATTTTTTCTGCATGGGTAAAAAGAACAGCAGTGTAATTCTTCCAGTCATGTCCCAGAATTTCCTGAAAGAGAGAGAAGTTAAATGGCTATTTGCCTTGAACTATCCCCCACAAAATGAGCAAAGGAGTTACTGTGGTTCAGTTTAGACAGCCAACACATCCAGTTGTCACCTCTATGTTTCTGAAAGCCGGTGTACAGAATAGGAAATGACAATGGGGCCAAGTGTTGTAAGCCAGTGGAGGGAGGGAGTGGGATTTCTGAAAAAGGTCTTAGTGCTGTATTTTACTGTTATAATCTATGATGTGTACACAACCTCAAACCTGCATTTTATCAATATCTGATATGCCATAATTATACTTACAACATTCACTGATGGTTTCTATAATACTTGTCCTTCTAACGGAAACAACCTAACTCTGTCAGAACCACTGAAAAATCCCTTTAAGTCAAAGGACTTTGACCAAGGGAAGTGTCAGAGCTTATATTTTTTTGTAGGAATGCTGCATTCTTATCATCACTAAAAGCATCTACTGGGGATTTAAAATTACATAATCTGGTTCGAGTCTATTGATTAATCATGTGACACGTAATGGAAAAATCTAAGATCAAAATACATTTGGCGATTTGGAACGACTACAAAATATTTCTGTGGTTCTCATCTTCTTCACTTTATATCCTAGAATCAAACACAATCTATCAGATGCCTTTCTCTAATGTGGTTGAAGACATTCCTTTGTTTAGTAATATGTGGAAGTCGGTTATGTAATAAATTCTTGTTTAATTAGTGAAAATAAGCTGATATAAAGCAGAAGCAGCAGCATGTGGTGAACTGTTCATGCAACGTGAAAGGCATTTAGAAATAGCCACTTAAGTTTTTTAATATTTTCAAAGTTCTATGAAATCACGACAACGTGACAGTAAAATTACATTTCCCCCATTCCAAACTGTCCCATTAGCAAAATATTTCCAAAGCCACAACCAGTTGATGATAGCAAGAAAAATATGAAATGCCTAGATATATACATAACTAGAAATATCTAGAACTTCTAATAATCAGAAGAAAAAATAACTATCATTTAGTGCCAGATATTATGCTAATCACTGTACATGCTTTATCTGTTTTGAAGCTTAATATGATTTTTGTGGGAGGTAATATCATTATCTCCATTATCATACAGGGAAATTGACATAGGCAAAATTAGATGCGTTAGTACAAACTCTGATTTAAAATAAATGTTTTGAAAAATTTGAAAAACAGCCCTTGAAGCTATTTTGGAAGTATTGAACAAACACAGGGTTAGTATTTATAATGTTGAGAAATTGAAAAGAAAGAAGAAAAAAGGAGATGAAGAAAGAAAGAGAAGGAAGGAAGGAAAAAAGGAAGGAAAGAAAGAAGAAAGGAAGGAAGGAATCAGGACATGCGGATCTAATATAAATTCAGGGCAGTGCCTGTGGCTCAAAGGAGTAGGGCACCGGCCCCATATGCCAGAGATGGCAGGTTCAAATCCAGCCCCAGCCAAAAACTGTAAAAAAAAAAAAAATTCATAAGAACTGTGAGACAAAATAATTAAAATTAGAAACATCCATGATCATGGTTACCAATTACTGTTCCTGATATGGTTTGGCTTTTATCCGAGTCATTTATTTATACATCCGTCTTTATAACTTGACGGCGGGCTCTTTGCCAGCAAGTTCCATGTCTTTTCTCATCCATCAAAGCTTCTAGCTTGTTCTAATTCTCAATAAATATCTTTTGAATTACTTTAAAATTGATCATTATCTCAAGTAGAAGGTTTAAAGTTTTATTATTTGTTTCAGGTTTTAGTTTTGAAGTTTAATTAATCTTTGGGATACACCATTGTAATTTCCTGTAAAGCTTCTCTTTTGATCTGTGGTTCATTATCACGGATTTGCTTACACCTGCACTTCCTGGTTTGTATTTCAGAGGAGTCTCTCAAGGAATAGATTCAAATTTTTTTTTTCATATCTATTCAAAATTTGTCTAATAATTGCATACTTCTGTTTTTCCTAAAAGTACCTTGTCTCATGAGAATTTTCATTGAAGTTTCAATATCAGAATATTAGGGAATAATTTTTTTGGCCAGGGCCAGCTTTGAACCCACCACCTCTAGTATATGGGGCCAGAGCCTTACTCCTTTGAGCCACAGGTGGTGCCTACAAAATAATTTTTCAAAGAGGCACTTTAATACAATATTCTTATGTGCCTTTAAAACAGAAATTTATTTGCAAAATTTTAATTAACCCAACTTTAAACTATATGAGTCTTGTGTAAATCTAAGTATTCATGCAGTACCAACATTCTATTTTAGTTAATTTTGACAGCAAAATTCATAGACCTCTTCAGAGTTTGCCAAATATTCAGGCATTGCAATGGGTCTCTGTTGAGAGAGGAGTAACAGAGTTGCAAAGTAAATGAACAGTGATGTTGTGAGCTGAAATAGTGTTCTCTTCCAAATTGATGTGTTAAAACCTAACCCCCAGTTCCTGAGAATGTGATCTTATTTGGAAACAGAGCCGTTGCAGGTGTAATTAGTTAAGATAAGATCATTACAGTGAGTCCCTCATCCGTATGATTGGTGTCCTCATAAAACAGGAAAATTTGGACAAAGACCCGTATACCAGGGAGAACATCACGTGAACATGAAAATGGGCACCTGCAAGCCAGGGAGAGAGCCTGGCCCAGACCTTGCCCCCCAGCCCTCAGAAGGAACTGCAGACGTCCAGGCTCCAGAACTGAGGCAGTAAATATCTGTCCTTTAAACCACTCAGTTTGTGCGACATTGTTTCAGTGACCGGAGTAAACTAATAGAAGTGGTTAAAAAAAATTAATGAAGTTCTATATATATTAGACCATGGCTCTAATCTGAGAGTAAGAAGATTTCTGGGTCATTTGCATCAGAATCGCTTGGAAAACTTGCTAAAAATACATCAGAACTTTTGGGGCTGGAGCCTGGGAATTTTTCTTTTCTTTTTTTTTTTTTTTTGAGACAGAGTCTCACTTTGTCACCCTGGGGAAGGGTGCCTGGTGTCATAGCTCATGGCAACCTCAAACTCTTGGGCTCAAGTGATTCTCTTGCCTCAGCCTCCTCAGTAGCTGGGACTACAGGTACCCACCACAACGCCCACTATTTTTAGAGCTGGGGTCTTGCTCCAGCTCAGGCTGTCTCGAACATGTGAGCTCAGGCAATCCATCCACCTGGGCTTCCCAGAGTGCTAGGATTACAGGCGTGAGCCACTGTGCCCTACCTGAGCCTGGGAATTTGAACCTTAAAAAGCACTCCAGGCCAGGGGTAGTAGCTTATGCTTCTAATCCCAACACTTTGACTGGCTGAGGTAAGAGCATTACTTATGGCCAAGAGTTTGAGGCCAGACTGGGCAACAAGTTAAGACTGTCTTTATTCCTTCTGTTACCAGACAAAGAGAGTCCGGCCGCCTATCATTGTCACCTAATCTGTAGACATGGGGACAGGTCCACCAAACTTTGTCAGAAGGCCAGGATTTTGGAGACCAGTGAGAGCAGCCTTTCCAAGACTGTTTTGCTCTTCCATTTCCAAAATCACAGTTTTACACATAAAACTTTAAAGTAAAAATTATGTTAATCTTTATTTTAAACAATAATAATTGGCATAACTCATGACCCATAATAAACAATAATCAGCATTTCTTACGACCTGAAACAACATTCCAATTTGGGAGAGTGAATGGTGGGATCACACCTATGGTGCATAACACAAGGATACGTGTCGGATCTATTAGTATAGAGTATAAAGGTCTTAACACAATAATTAAGTAAACGAGATGAGGTATATATTAACCAGTGTGATGTAAATGCTCCTAATTCTATATGAAATCAGCACATTGTACCCCATCAATGCATTAATGTATACATGATCTGTGTTTATGATTTAATAAAAAAAAAAAATAAAGGTTAGTCTCCTCACTAGATTGCCCTAAACTACTCAAAGCCATTTTTAGGTTAAGGCTGAATTTACAAAACAGCAGGAATGGGAGACATGTGGTGAGGGTCAGGTAGGCCCTAGACCAGCGGTGTAGTATCAGCCCTAGCCTGAAAGACTCCAGCTTATTCTTGCTACATGTGCTCTCACTTCCGCAATATTTGTTGAGGGTCTACTTTGTGCTAGGTATGTTCTACATCAGGGGTCCTCAAACTTTTTAAACAAGGAGCCAGTTCACTGTCCCTCAGACCATAGGAGGGCCAGACTGCAGGCCCGGGATGAGTCGGCTGCTAAGCAGGACAGGCAGTGGTGGCAAAAACACCCGGCGGGCCGGATAAATGTCCTTGGCAGGCCACAGGTGGCCTGCAGGCCGTAGTTTGAGGACGCCTGTTCTACATGGTAGGAATAAAGTAAAGAACAAGACAGATAATATTTTCTGTTTATATCTAGTGGACATTCTTGTGTACTAGCTAAGCTTAGAGCTGAAGGTGGGATGGACAGGAAAAAAATACTTCAATTGTTGTAATTGTAAGTGTTGTGATAGAAATCACGTTGGTGCTATCGAGGTGGACATTTAGCACATTTAGGGGTGGGGGTGGAAAGTGGGAGCAATCCCTCGGTCAGGAAAACGTTCTTGTATGTGATGATGCCCTGAGCTGACTCTTGAAAAACACATAGTAATTAACATGGGGATTAACATAGTCGAGCATGACTGGGAATTGGATAGTATTGGGATTTTATTTCTATACAGGTTAAAGCCATTGATCTGTGATCACTCTTGTCTTTGGAAGTTTATGAAATTAAGAGCCAGACCTGATACTCATCTAGCACACCACTGATGTGGTCAAACTGATCATCAAACATTAAACTGTTTATACACAAGTTAGTGAATAGCTTTTGACCTTAACCCTTTGAATCCCATCTTCAATCTACTCCCCAGATATTTACTGATCGAAGCGTGGAATAATTTTTTTTATTTTTGAGACAAAGTCTCACTTTGTCACCGTTGGTAGAGTGCTGTGGCATCATCATAGCTCAGAGCAACCTCAAACTCTTGGGCTCAAGCAATCCTCTTGCCTCAGCCT